CTTTCAAAACTTTTCAAAGATTATGCAAGAAATATGCATATAAACAAGAGTGTCTTGAATTCATGCCATGCATGTTGCTAATTCAAGTTAATTTCCACAATTCCTTCTTTATGTGATTATATGAATTCCTAACATCAATTTACACCACTAATCTCATAATTATTCATGATCTTTAATTAAAACAACTCAAAGTCTAAAGGATTATGAGGAAAGCAGTTCAATTTCATGGAATTAATGTAGAATTCTTACCTTAAATATGTGAAGTTATGAAGATTTCAAGTTCTTTTTCACTTCATTTTCTTCCTATCTTCTTTCTCTTATTGAGCTCTCTCTTAAGAGTATCTCTTTCTTTCTCTTTCTACGTGGATATCTCTAGGTACAACAAAGCCCACTACACTTCTACCTCACTTCCTAATCAATGGGTAAGTAGTACACTAATTCTACTTACATTAGGCTTAAATTAATTAGGCCAATAAATTAATTAAATCAACTTCACTCAAATTAAATTACATCTCATCATAATATGATCTCAATTATTCTAAATTAAAGAACTCAGTGTGACTTAGGCTCTAATTCTCTATCCAATTATTTGATTCTAACGTGGTAAAATTAACAAATCAGATAGGTTTAGTTTTCACTCTAACCTATCTATCCACAATAACACCATCCAAATAATCACATAATTAACAATAAGCATAATTAATATAATTAATGATGTGGTTGTCACATGGCCTGAGGATATGTTCTGTTCTGTTCTGTTTCAAAATCACCACTATTGTACAACATGCTTGGTCAGTCGGCCGTACAAAATAATGGTTGGCCGGCCACTGCTTCTAAGGTATACTCTGCTGCAACAAAGCTGGAACAGAGCAAGACAGAGTATTTTTGGGAGATGTTTATCCTCTCTGCCTTTCCCTATCATAAAGACATTCAAGGGAGGAGTAAATTCGATTCACAAATCATCAATCATCACAAATTTGTTGCGTGATGATCTTAGAAATGATAGGACAAGAGTTTAATGCATGCAACAAAAGTCAAACATTACCTCATCCCTGTCATGGAATTACGTCAAGGAAGGAGGTAGACTTGCCTCATGAATCATCAAATATCACTAAAATAGTATGTGATGATTCTAGAAGCAACATATTCAGTATAACATCTAACTGAACCTAACCAATTTTTATTATCTTTTTACCTCTTTTTTACTCCGATTTTATTATCCTTTTTACTTTACCTTTCCATTTTCTTATCTTTTCTTCTTTGTTTGTCCAAAGGTGATGATTACGTCCACTAAGTCCGAAGCAATAAAGATTAGGAAGCATGACTTGACCCGAGAAATGAGCTTTTGGAGCCCTTTTTTACAAGGAAAACTACAAAGGAAGAATCAAACCCATTTACGAGCGATAATGAATTCAAAGTCAGACTCGAAAAGAGCGATAATGACTCCAAATTCAAACCCGATAATAAGCTATAATGAATCTTTCTTTTATAATTTTTAAGGGTCTAAATAGAAAATTAGTCCCTTAGAAGTAATGCATCGGCGATAAAGGGAGGCATCGAACAAGAGATTGCACTTAGCATAAGAAATACATGATGCCCTGATAATAAACCTCCGAAGAGGTTACACCATTTTGCACGTGGAACCCCTTTCTTATGCCATGAGCGAAAATCTTTTGGTTGATATAACCCTCAATCAAAAGAAATAAAGAAAGAAGAAAGGTTGCAGAATGTGAATGAAAAGTGGATGATAATAATGACATGAATATATACATGAAAGATATGGAAAGGAAAACTATCAACTCAAATGAATTTGTGGCTATGGCCTATACACCAAACCCATAAAGACTTAAAACAACACAAGTTTGATATTCAAAACATAAATTAGATAGAAACATTAAACAGCCCCTAAACTTAAGAAAATAGTGGCCAAAATCAAAGAAACAAAGTAGAAAAGACAAATCAACAAGGTATGGAACAAGGCTTAAGGAATGCTGGCTAACCCTTCATCTTTTTATGAGATTTTAATCACATTTTAAGCTTAAAAAAAACTCTGAAATTAGTATGAAAGTATAAGAAAAATAGAGACAAAAGATGGTTGAAGAGTTCAAATATCACCTCTTGAAAGAGAGGATGTTCTTCTTAGTTCACAAGCCACAAGCTAAGCACTCTCAATGAGCTGAATTTGTATTAAAAAATCTCAGTAAAAGCTTCAAGTTCAAGCTTGTATGGTGTATCTATGGTGTATGTATATTGCAAGAGAAGAAGAAAGTGTGTTGGACAAACTATAGACTCTTGGAGGATTTTTTCTAATCTCAAAGCATGAGGGGGGGTCTTGTATTTATAGAAAAACAACTTCTCACGTCGGAAATATCTGTATCAAAGACAGCTAGCCCAAAGCATGTGCATGGGAGCAGGTGACTGCTGCAAAATATTTGCCTGCCCTAAACATGGCCGACCAGTCAGCCATTAGGGTGTACGACCGACCCAATGAAAATGGCCTGCTGGCTATCTTTTGGCCAGTAGTTCCCTGAGTGGTTAGGCTAGAAAAAATGAGGTTTTGGTCCAAAAGGGGTGCAAGGTTTAGGTTTTAAAGCTTGAAATCAGATCATTTTGCTAAATACTAGAATGATTGCATAGTGTAACATTTTATCATTGAGTTTTCAGAGTGAAGCGCCCAAGTTTTAAGTGCGGTCAAAATGGGATGTCTACAGTAGGTGATTGTAATAGGTAATGGTGATAGTGGCAGCAACGACGGTGGTATAAATGGTCGTAATAGTTGGTTATAATAGGATGGTGGTTTTAGTAATGACAACGACATGGATGGTAAGACAGTGATAATAGGTGATAGTAGGGTGATGATGGTAATAGGTGATAGTGGTGGACGGTGATAGGATGGTAGTTGTGGTGGTGGTAGAGTTGTGGTAGGGTGGTAGAAAAAAGGTAGCAATGGCAAACGGTAGCAAATAGTGATAGTAGCCAACATACTAATAGACACATGTTATAGGACGATTTGATGATGGATGAAATACATATTCCTTTATTTTGTGTTTGGTTAGGGGATTTGGAGGGAGATTTGAAAAGGGAAAGGGAAAAGGTGTGTGAAACTAGGTGAAATACAGACATATTTTATTTACATTTCACCTACCTTTTCTATTTCCCTTTCCAAATCCCTCCTCAAATCCTCCAACCAAACACAGCATTAGTTTCAAGGAAAAAATATGTATTTTCACTTTTTTCGGAATAACCATTTCAATGGATGTGTGCGATGCGATTCGGTACAGTTTGAGAGTAAAATTATAAATCAAACCGTAAATGACGGATTAACAAATAACTAAACCACAATTTGGACGGTTTGGGTGGTTTCAATTCGCTAGTTGATTAAACAATAATCTTAAACAATTATTAAGCATTTGTATTATTATATAATATAAGTAAAAACGTTTTAGCCTCTTTGAGTCTTAAAACTCTAATCTTTTTTTCTTTTTTTTTAAATACAAAAAATACATTTGTAATTATTCTATTGGTTCTTTCCAATTTATTATTATTTTCTTTCAATTTTATTAAGTAGTCTAATAATCAATATGGTAAGTTCTTTATTAAAATAAAAAAAAAATTTAAAAAAAAGGAAACAAATCATAAGATTTTGAAACTTTCATTTTCTCCTTTCAAAAATACAATTACACAAAAGGAAAACAAAAAGTAGAAAAATGAAACTGTTAACAAAAGATAAATTAACGGAATAGAACCATCAAAATTCAACAATGATTGTAAAATAGGATTGGGGTCCCTGCTGTGGAGAATCCACAGTCGTGACTGCTGTGACGTAAAACGCCACCGTTTTAATGTTTTTTTTTTTTTAATTAATCTGAGGGTTTATTAATTCTTCTCTCACTATAACAAACAAAACAATAAATCTAGGGCCGCCGCCGTCTAATCCCTAAGCAAAGGTTTTCCATTGACATGGATTGAAAGGTTAGTTTTTATTTATTTATTTTTTTATTTTCTATTGACATGGATTGAAAAGTTAGTTTTTATTTTTTATTTTTTTATTTTCTAAAAGTTAGTTTTTATTTTTTATTTTTTTATTTTCTAACATTTTTGTCTTCTCTTAAACAGATTGAACAGTGTTCTTTATTTTTGCTTCACCATTCTTCTGCTGGATTTACAGACCATTATTGTTCAACAAACTGGTATGTATATCTATATATATTATATGTATATATGTTTTGTATTTTGTTTTGTACAGTATGTTAGTGGGTTGAACAACTATAATAGTTTGGTTTGTTTATTGTGAATGGATTGAGAAACACAATTGTATATTATAAGAAAAAAAATTTTATTATGTAATTTGTTTTGTACATATTATGTATTTTTGTATAAATATTATATAATTTTTTTAAGGAGTTACGATAATTTGTAATTCATAATTATTTTTTTTATAGCAATGTTATGTATTTTTGTGGAAATATTACACATTTTTATAACAATGTTATTTATTTTTATAATAATGTTATGCATTTTGTGGTCTAAAAAAAGTTTCAATAAAAAAATCTATAATCTTACTATAAAATGCGAATTTAATTTTTTAATCATAAATTGTTATAGCTCAATAAATGATGACATAACATTTGTAACAAAAATACAAAACATATATCAAAAATTTATATAATAAGAGGGCATATGATTCACATCTTTAAGCGTGTCTGCCAAAAGATTCTCTGTATTATATAATATACTAATTCTAATATAATTTTGCAATTGTATATTATAATCTACTCAGATACAATAAATTTCCAATGTTACTGTACAAATTACACATCTTTTTTTTTTCCCTCTCCCCTATCCTTTTAATTAATTTACATTATTAATTGATTTATTAGATTTCATTGAATTGTTTAATTACTCAGCATTTAAAATTAATTAATAACTTTTTTGCTCAGATTCTTGTTTCATTTAATATATATATATATATTTTTTTCCCCATATTTGTTAGTGTTGAAATGGAGGATAGTATAATGGATGATGGTGGACTTGAGGGATGCATCGAAGAAATGGGAGAGTTGGCCAAGGATAAATCACCATATCTTAGTATGGAGTTTCCATCAGAAGAAGCTGCATATGAGTTTTATAATGAATACGGAAGAATTGTGGGATTTAGTATTAGAAGAGATTATTGTAACAAAAGTCAGAAAGATGGTGTTATGACTAGTAGAAAGTTTGTTTGTTGTAAGAAGGGAGAGAGGGAAAAAGATAAACGGTACACGATGATAAAAAATCCTCGAAGTGAGACAAGAACAAATTGTAAAGCATTTATGCATATATCTTTTAAGCGGGACTTGTCGAAGTGGATTGTGTCGAAGTTTGATAGCAACCACAACCACCCTTTGCATCTTCCTCAATGTACTCATTTGATGCCATCTCAGAGAAAGGTATGTGATGCTCAGGGTATAAATATTGACATAGCTGATGAGAGTGGAATATCTCTTAAGGCTTCACATGATCTTATTAGTGTTATAACAGGAGGGAAGGAATTTGTAGGGTTCACACGGGAGGATCAGAAAACCTACTTACGTGCAAAAAAGCGAAATTGCGTATGGGTAAGCGTGGAAGTTTGTTAAGATATTTTCCAGCAGCAAGTGGCACGAAATCCATATTTTAACTATGCCATTTCAGTTGGATGTAGTGAGATGATTACTAATAATTTTTTGGGCTGATCATCAGAAATGAAGAAGATTATGGCTTTTCGGTATGGGTGTATTTGACACACTTTTTCGAACAAATAAGGGTAACGTCTACTTGCGTTATTTGTGGTTTAACCCTTTAGAATGACAGTGATTTTTTGTGCAGATATTATATGATGAAACTGAGAGTCATTGGAATGGTTATTTAAACATTTGGATGCAATGTAAGGAAAAAAACCTGTTAGTTTTTCACAGATCAGATCAAAGCAATGCTAGCGAATGTTCACAATATGCCTGGGTTTCATGGGTTGTGACTTTTCACCTAATGCAAAATGCTTTGAAGCATTTAGGTTACTTGTTCAAGTGTGGTTCAAAATTTAGTAGCAATTTAAAAGCTTGCATTTATGACTACGAGAATGAGCATGAATTAATTGAAGCTTGGAATTCTTTGATTGATAAATACAACTTGCAAGAAAATGAGTGGATGAAAAGAACTTGGAGAAAAAGAGAGCAGTGGGCGCATGTGTATATGAAGTGGGTATTTACTGGAGGAATACGAAGCACACAACTTAGTGAAAGTCTAAATGGAACATTAAGGGGATATTTGAAGGGTGATCATAACATTGTTCAATTCTTTACTCACTTCAATCGGATTGTTGTAGATAAGCGTATGAGGAAATTTCCGCAATATATGATTCTAGACAAAAGTTGCCAAGAATGAAATTGAAAAAGTCTCCATTTTAATCCAGTTGCGAGTTTGTACACCCCTCCTATCTTTGATTTATTTCATTGTGAGTTGGATACGTCCCTTTGTTGTCAAGTGAAGCAATTCCATGAGTTAGAAGGAGAAGTTAAGTGCGTGATTGGCTTGTATGGTAATGGTAAAGAGTATTTGTGAGGGGGTAGGGTGGAAGTTATTGGGCTAAGAGGAGAAAAAAGTTGTCAAGAAATACATTGTACTTGTAAGAAATTTGAGAACTTTGGAATTTTATGCAGTCATGCAATCAAAGCACTTGATAGAATGAATGTTTGAAAATTCCGAAAGGTATATATTAGGCCGATGGAGATTGGATGCAAAGATTGTGAAGTTGAAGAGAAAAATGTTGTAGTGGATGAGGATGATCCGAAGTTGTTAATATTAGCACGTTATAGAGATCTTTGTCCAAGAATGGTGAAACTAGCAACTCAAGCATCTATGCACAAACCTGCCTATCAATTGGTTGATGAAGGAATTAAGGAATTGTGTGTAAAAGTAAATAATATGATGAAGGGAGTTGGAAGTTTTGGTACCAATGAATTAGATGTGGACGACCCCAACATTACACAAGTTAAGGGCATAAAGAAGAAAGATGTTGGACACAAAGGGAGGGGTAGATTAAAACCTTGGCATGAGATGATGAATAAGAAGACAAAAGTTATTTCACAACCTACCCGCCTTAGTAAGGTATTACCTACGTACTTTTGAAATTTCAAATGACATGCATTTATTTTTATAAATTATGTAAAGTATTGATAACTTTTTGAATTTCTTTAGACTATTGGTCAATCAAGCAACACTACAAATGTTCAAAATTCATCCTCAAGCCAACAACAGGTTAGCTATTGTTTTATGTTATTTATTTATTATTATTATTATTTTTTTTATAAATTGTGTAATGTATTGATAAATTTAACAACTTATGTAGATTATTGGTTATAAAGCAATATCACAAATGTTCAAAATTCATCTTTAAGTCAACCACAGGTTAGCTCTTGTTTTATGTTATTTGTTTATTTTTTAGACTACATTGTATTAGTGTATTTACTTTTCATGGTGTTTTATGGAGTAGGATGGTAGGAGTTTCTATTGGCCACAATTGATAACTTATGGGTATAATCTTCTCACACATGATACTAATTCATACTCACCAAGGTATCTACAATCACGCCTTTGTCTTTCCAAGCATCACATAGTCCACAAAGTTCTCAAGTAAGTAATATATATATATATATATATATATATATGTTTGTAATGTAAAATTTAGTCCATAAAATTTATTCTAATGAATTTTCTTTCTTTTCTTTCTTTTTTTTTTATAGGGAATATCACTTAATCCAGTGGGGCGCAATCCAATGGAGACCGAATTTAGAAATGAGAGTTCTTTTGATTTTTCTATTTATTCCCAACCGCCTCCAAAAAATTGACATGGGGATCCACTTTGTAGTTTTTGTTTTGAGGATTCAAATTGAAGGTTTTTAGAATTTTGTTTGGATAATTTAGAACGGTTGAGACAGATTTTGGGATATTTGGTAGGAGATTTTGAAGTTTAAATGTCTCAGAATTTTGTTTTATTTTTTTTATATAGATGTTGGATGTGAATTGAATATATTTTGGCCTTAAGTTGGTTTTTTTTTTTTTTTTGAAGTTACATTTTTTTTGCTTATGGTTTGATAAATTGATTTGTTCAAATACAATTTTTTTCCCTTTTAATTTCACTTTTGATGCATTTAAGTCAGTTTTGAAAAAGTCAAAACATGTATGGTTTGTTTGATTTTAATTTTAAAATTAATCTTTTTAAAAAAATATAATTTGGTTTCATAAATTGATTTGTTCCATGAATTATTTTTATTTTATTATATTTTCTATTTATAAAATAAATTTTTTTTAACACAAACTCACCCCCTTCAACTTTACAGGACCGCGGGACCCAGAAGATGGCTCCGTCCCTGTTGGGTTTATTGTTTTGTTTTGTTATAGTGAAAAAATTAATGAAAAATTAATAAACCCTCAAATTAATTAAAAAAAAACATTAAAACAGTAACGTTTTACGTCACAGCAGTCACGGCTGTGAATTTTCCACAGCAGAACCCCTCCTCCTTATAAATAAGCATAACTCACACAGTTGTATTCCTCCTAAAAAGAAATTAAAAAAAAACCATATACCTCCAACAACTATATTTTCTACACCTATCAGAATTGAGTTTGGTTTCCAATATCTTTCTCAAGGACAGTAAAAGATACACAAATTTCTATCATTTTATGCTATCCATTTTTTTTGTCAATATAGAGTTATATAATGGTGTATTGCTAGCCCCTTTTTTATATACTTTCTTATTTTTTTACCCTTTTTTTTTGGGAGGGGGTGAACTCACTATGATACTTTACCGTGTGAGTTCTATTGAAAAATACATACTAGAAAAATTTTATTACGGTATTTTGGGAAAGAAATTTTTGTTGTAATATTTTTATATAATAGTTTGTAAAGATATACAATATCTTCATTTAAAAATATATATATATATATATATATATATATTTTTTTTTTCTACAATTTTCTTTATTCTTAGAGTTCAATTAACATTTGAATATATATCTATCTATACTATTATATACATAAAAATATTGTTAGGCTTTTGATCTCTAAAATTCAAACTTGATTTTTATAAAAAAAAAATTAAAAATAAAAATTATATAAATATACATGACATATTACCATTGGTTGTTCAACTTTAAAGTTTGGGCGAATTACATTAACGGGCCTTGTAATTTGAGACTTGTGTCACTTTGGTCCTTAATCTTTCAATTGCGATACATTTAATTCAAAATTTTGAATCTCGTTTTAAATAAAGACAATTGAAAACACTGGTGCTCTATTTCAAGGACAAAGTTTTCAATTTGATAAAAGATAAACTAATTTAACAAAAATAAATGTCAAAAAAATATTTTTGAATTTAAAAAAATTATTTCTACTCACCAAAATAAAATTATATAAAAATAATAAATCTTTTACATTTTTATTTTTTTTATCAAATTAATTTTTAGTATGCGTTTGGATAATGATCATGTAATAAGTGGTTGTTTTGTTGATATTTTTAAATGGTTATCATGTAATAAATGCTTATTAAGTTTTTAATGTGTAATCGATATATTTAATATATGAAATATTTTTAGTTTTGGATTTTTTGATTTAATGGATTAGTTTAGTAATGACATCAAAGTTGTCGTCATGTTTGATTTTTAAAAAAATAGAAACTAATTTAACGAAAATAAATATCAAAAAAATTATGTCAACCCTCTCAAAAGATGAAATTATATAAAAATGATGTATTTTTAATTTTTTTACCAATTTAATTTTTAGTTCTTAGAAATTTTTTTTTTCTTTCTAAAATTCAAATCAAACAGAACTTTATAGTCAAAAAAGTTCTAACATTATTTATTAAAAAAAATGCTATTATATGCCAAACAACATACAAATTAACCAACACAAAATAAATTATATGATGACTTTACTCTTGAAATGGATCGTTTGCAAAGGAAATATTTTTTATTATACTTATTTGGAACAAGATTCAAAATTCATGATTAAATGTATTATAATTGAAAAGTCAATGATCAAAATGACACAAATCCCAAATTATAGGGACTATTAGTGTAATTCGCCTAAACTTTTAATAGCAATTAATAATTTGAACACATGTATTTAAAAAAGAATTATGTTTAGACCAATAATATTATGATGTGAATATTAATCTCAATAACATAATTTAAAGAAGGATTTTAATTTATAATTTAATAAAGGATGCATAATAAGGAAGAATTCAAATTTAAAATTTTATTTTAAGAATATAAAATTAATTTATAGACCAATCAAATTATGACACATATTAACAAAATCAAAAAAATGAGAAAAAAAATATTGCAATTTTCAGCCTTAAAAAGATAATGACATTTTGCAATTATAATAACATATAAATATAGATTAAGGGAGTTAATAATTTATGAAATTTGTTTATTATTGGCCATTATGCAGAATTAGTAAGATAAATAATTCACTTATTCAAAATTTATGGGCAAATTACATATACCCCCTCGAGGTTTGGTTAAATTACAGATACCCCTGAGGTTTGAGAAATTACGAATTCCCCCCTGAATGCTATATTTGCATAAGAAATTAGGGGGTAATTTGTTATGAAATATAAACTTCAGGGGGCAAATTGTTATGAAAATACAAACCTCAGGGGGCGGGATGTAATTTCCGAAACCTCAGGGAGGTATTTGTAATTTAGCCAAACCTCGAGGGGTATATGTAATTTGCCCCAAATTTATTTTGTAATGAATATGAAAATATGTAAATTATATGTTTGTTTTATATTATATGTTATAAAACTAAAAAATCTATTGTATCAATTTTGGTGAATAAAATATCCATTAAAATTTAATCTGGATAACAAAAATTACAATCAAAATAATAAACAATGTCATGATTTGCTTCTACACTTTATGTGCATTAAAATTTTGTTTGAATTATGAATTAATAATTTGAAATGAAAAAAAGAATAGAAAAAAAAAAAAGTGAGGGAATGTGAATTAAATATAAAGTCTCGGCTAAATTATACTTTCCCCTTTTAATGTTTAGCAATTTTTTTATTTTGGCCTTTAAAATTTAATTTTTTTCCATTTTGACCTTTTAAATTTTAATTTTTTCTTAATTTCCTCCTAAAACTAACATTTATCTAAATTTATAATCCAAAACACAGTGCAACAACACAACCAGAGTTTACACTACTGTATAAGTTCTTAACCATTAATCAATTCCAACGCATCTCTCTCTCTCTCTCTCTCTCAATTTCACTTAATAAAAATAAACAAATAATTTAAATTAAAAGAAAATAAAAATATTAAAATTTAAATTGACAAATTTAAAACTCATAATTTATTTTATTATACGAGCCAAACTCTGGAATTTTCTTTGTAATCAACTTTTTTTTTTTTTTAATCACAATTGTACAGACTCAAAAATTAAATTGAAAGTTGAGATTAATTATATTTTTAGTTCCCAAAACACAAGTTGTGTGTCATTATGATCCCCATTGTATAAAAGTGTGTTGTTAATTTGGTCCCCCAGTGTCTAATGATTGCCAAAACATAAAAATTACTGATATAATTTGTCCCAAAAAATTGCTACAAATTGCCATTGTACGTGCATTGTAAGGACCTCATTTGAGCAGGCTTTGACTATGGTAACTACGATAATCTTCAGAGCCCTCCCACATTTGATCTCGAGTTTGATGGCAACCATTGGGTTACTTACAGTCGAGACCTCTCTCGGTGATGAACCAATCGACCATGAAAATGAATTAAATCACCATAAAAATGAGTTAAATCATGAAGCCAGACCTTGTCACCATGTGCACGGTCCGAATGCAAGGCCATAAGTGTCAATTTTTGAAGTTGGCGGAGGGGCAAGTAATTTTTGAGCAAATCACTAGGCAAAAAGTAATTAACCTAAACTAGAATTTGAATGCACACCAAAACTCATGCTTGAGTCTACATGCATATGCCTCCTGGTTCTTTTCTTGATTTCATTTCACATGGACCATCAAATATTTAAACATGTAACATTTGTTTCTATATAAACCTAAGCTGAATACATATATCCATATAAATGTACAATTAAACCCTCACCAGTGGGTCGGCGGGGGTGGAGAGCAAAGCACATTATCTGCAGATGCAACAAGTAACTCTGCCAGCAATGAACTCAGGTTAGTTTAGTTGATCAGAAACCTTGCATCTTACTGAAAGGTTGAGGGTTCGAGTCCCCATTCCCAGGTTACAGCCCTCCAATATAACCCCCCAAAAAAAAAATAATACACAAACAAAACCCAACATTAGGAACTACAAAACTTTAAAATAGAAAGGCATATCAGAAAGAACTCGTTCTTCGAAGCTGATATCTTGGTTCTGGAGACAACTCCCGTTGCAATATCCTCTCCAAGTCCTTAACATAATAAAATCAAATAATTAATAACTAACCATGAAGAAATGGCAGCAACAGAGAAGCTCTTGAAGTAAGAATACCTGTTTCTATTAGATACAATCAAGAGCGAGAAGTCATTATAGTTGACCAATGCAAGCAGTAATCTCATGTTTTAGCAATAATATATACTGTTTAGGAATACAAACAATAATATAAAACTGTTTTAGCTTCAACAAGCATGGAACTACTCTAGGAATGTAGCATTTAACTCATTATACAATGAAAAATTATTGGCCAACATATGATTATTAAATAAAAAAGACTGACTATTTTTAGTAGGATGCTTTGTCCACATCCACTTAATAGAACACAGACTACGTCGTGCAACCTCGACCCCTGTATTAGTCTAAAGGATTAAGACTATGTCATGTTACCAATTAGTTCCCTGGCAACCTATATTCTGAGAGCGCGATATGAAATAGGCATAATATTTTTATTTAGTTGTTCGAAAAAATTTCTTTACCCCTTCAAGCACAAGATAAGGGAAAAAATGGATTTAAAATCTATAGAATTGAGAACTTCAAGACAGACCACCCGAGAGTGGTAACTTGGTGGTTGCAGGCTTACTCCCTTTTGGTTTGGCGACTACAAGCAGTGACAGAGTCTGGAACTATATATTACTTTTTTTCATTGACAATTGAATGAGTTAATTATTTTGAAGTGATAATAAAAATAAAAAAAACAATTCAAAATAACATAAACACAAATAAGTAAATTCAATAATTCAAACCCCAAATAATTTTGCAAAACTAAACTGGGCGTTGCCTGAAATTTTTTATAGAGCGTGAAAAACCATGTCCATCTTCTTCACAAAGGAAATGGTGTTTTCGGCAACAAGAAAAGAAATAGACAGAAATACAATATATATATATATATATAAGAAAAGAAATAGACAGAAATACAATATATATATATATATATAAGTGATAGAAGAAGAAAGAAAAAAAAAAAGTGTGACAAGTTAAAAGTGTAGTGTGAATATTATTGCTCAATGAAAAATAAAATAAAATAAAGTGTGATAGACCTGTGAGAGGCTAAAAGGAAAAATTATATATACAATATGATAGAAGCACGTACACTTCTATAATGGAGACGTGTCGTGTCAGACACAACACTCTACAGACACTCCTAAAAGTATGTTTGATACTTTTTTAATGGATCTTTAACTAAAATTTTAAATTTATAATATAGAAAACTTTACAAACATTTCTTCGGTGACACTTCTTAAACCCTCCACACATGACTACCTTGTTTGTTTCCAATTTTTTGAAAATTGAATTTTTTATTTTTCGTGTTTTTTTATTTTAGTAAATTTTTAAAAAAATTTAAGGAAATATTTTACTTTTTAGATACACCTAATAAATATATAATTAAAAAGTATAATCTTTGTGAAAAAAATCTTTAAAAAATTCGGTAAATACCAAAAAAAAAAATCAAAAATTCAGTACATTTTTGTATTCTTGTGTATTTATTGATTTTTTTACAAATATTTTACTTTTTCAGTACATCTAGGTTAGGTGCATCTAAAAAGTAAAAAATTTGCTTAAAATATTAAAAAAATTCAGTAAACACAAAAAAACTCAATTTTCAGAAAATTAAAACCAAATAATGTTTTGCATTCTTCGAAATGTAACTTGTGCACTCTAAATATGTTTTCAAATATTTATAAGACGAATACATTATGTTTATTTCAATGTTTTATAATTGTTTTTGCATTGTTTAGAATGCAATTGTTACTTAGATGATGTTTCTTTCATAATCTTTGAATAATCTATTCATCTATTTAACATATAATAATTATGAAAATATAAATTTTTAATGTGTCCTTGGCGTATCATGTCATGTATTTTTTTAAACCACCGTGTTGGCGAAGTCCAAGTCATGTCTGTGTCGTGTCCCATGTTTATGTCTGTACTACTTAGATGTACTTAGATGATAGGCTTATGCTGTGTTTGGTTGGGAGATTTGGAGAGGGATTTGGAAAGGGAAAAGGAAAAGGAAAATGTGTTTGAAATTAGGTGAAATTTAGGTATATTTTATTCATCACCAACCTTTTCCATTTTCTTTTCTAAATCTCTCCTCAAATCCCCTAACTAAAAATAGCATTAGTGGAGTATAAATATCATTGTTCAATAAAAAAAATGTCTACATAGCAAAATAACAAAGTAATTGCAACCAAAAAAAAAAAAATGGTCAAGATAAAATTTAGAGAAATGCTATGTATTCCAATTATTCTACCAAATATTTTACCAAACCTCTCACATGGGTTGAGACTCACACAAATCCATGTGTGTGGGGGTCCCATACCCATGTGAGAGGTTTGATAGAATATTTGAGATCCCTAGCATAACTCTAAAATTTATGGGCAAATTAACCACATTTAAGAAAATCATATTTGAAAATATTATTTTCTAAATGTTCAGTGGGGATAGCTCCCACCCATGACTAGAAGGCCATGAGTTCGAGCTTGTAGGGTGATGCTTGGGGGTGAGACTTTTGTTCATTAATCCTAGACCACCAGCTCCTTGCCACCATGCCCTCATGGGGTTGGCATCAGACCAATGTTAAGGCCCCTCTTTTCCAACTCCCAACGGGTAGAAACTCCTGTGATCATGCCAAGGAAGGATTGTGGTGCTTGCGACGCAACCCCCCCCCCCCCCCCCCCCTCTTCTCTCCCTTACCCTTTTTGCCAAGCCAGAGAGAAAGAGAGAGTGAGAAACCACGCTACAATTGCAATTTCACCATGGCCAGGGCCACAGAAATAAATAAATAAAAGCCCCTCACCATTGCCACAAACACTAAAGCTACAAAACCACAATAGCCAACTACCACCAAAACATTCTCAATAATAATCATGGCCTCTTCCATCACCAAATAACTCACCCAAAAGCGACTCTTCAATTGAGCATATTTACATCTACTAATTTCACTTCCTATTGGCAATGCAACCACCACGTTGACCCTCATGGTTTCCTTCAGATTTTTTTGTACATCATTAATTGTTGCATTCATAAGAAACACTTGATGAAATCTGTGAGTTATAATATGTAACATGAGACTATTTTCTTCTACCTTAGACTAAAAATAACAAGGCCCATGCTTATGGAACTAGTTTATCATGTTTACAGCAAGGCAATAACAAGTCCCATGCATTTTCTTCCACATTAGACTAAAATTAATTGGGTTGATTTCATATTTCTGGACTGATGTGAGACTCTTCTAGCTTTATTGATGAATTGGGTTTAATAGATCTCCCAGTGATGGTGCTTTCACTTGGTAGACTAGCAAGGAAGGCCCTTTCATCTATCCAATACATAGATTTCTGGTCTCTTTGGATTGGGAGGAACATTTTCCTGAGTACAATATTTGTTACCGAGACTTCTTTTGGATCACTTCACTTTATTCTTGGACAGTGGGAGGCTTAGAAAGGGGATAACTCTATTCATGTTTGAAAATGTGGTTACAGGTGGAGGGTTTCCGAGATAAGGTAGGGGATTGGTGGAGAAGCTATTCGGTGCAAGGAAATCTGATGAGTTTGGTTTTGGCAAAAAGGCTATAATTATTTAAGAAAAAAATAAAGAAACGGAACATGAAGGAATTTGGAAACTAGAGAATTCGTGCCTAGGAGGATTTGAAGAGTAGTCAGGATAATGAGAAAGAAGGCATTATAATTTATTTTTTTTGTTGCCGACCAAAAAAGAAAAAAGTGTGTTACTAAAATTCCTAATCACGAAGCCCTCACAAGGCACAAAGTTTTATTTGGGGCAAATCAGTGTTAAGCCAAGGGAGTTTTGAACGGGCTGATACCATTGGGCAGAGATTTGGGCTAAGAATTAATAGAGAAGCTCAAAGTGATTTTGAGCCTAACTTGAGGATAAGGAGGTTCGGGAGAGCCCTTTTCTTTTGGTTTAGAGTCCAAACTTGTGAGATAAGTGGGTTTAATAAGAATAGTGGGCATCTAAAGGGGCACAAGACCAAGTCGGTTAATTTTACCCAATTTACGGGAGAAGCGTTTGAATCAAGTTCTCCAAGGTCATAAAAATTGAGCTAATGAATCTAAAAAGGGCTTCCAAGCAATGACATGGGTGAGATGGGAAATGGGAAGGAAGCGAATAGTGGTTGACAGTCGATAACCAAGGTGTATTCAATCCAAGGAAGAACAAAGAGTTCATGTTGGCTGAGATTTGTGATTTGCATAATACAGAAATTGAGCTAGGACTCAGCTGCAAAGATTGAAAACAAAGTCTTAGGTGATGAATGTGACCCATGAAACTTCAATCGTCTTTAAGAACTGCACGGTTATTTTTGTTCAATGATGGAGTTTTGGGATCTTTTGGCAATATACAAGTTCATAAATTAAGGAATGCTAGAGAAGAAGGGATGTCCAACAACTACTTGGGGTTTTTGGCAACCTTTAGTGAATCTGATGAGGGTGAATTAGATGAATCTTCTGATGAGTCAGCTCAGACTGATGATGAAGATGCAGATGAAGATAATATTTCTATAGTGCAGGAAACTAATCTGGGAGTTGCGGCCATGTTTAGTGGGGATCATATGGAAAATCAGAATGGTTCGATGGTCGATAGCCATCATGAAAAGGTAGCATGCAATAATGCAACTAAGGCCTAGTTTGGCTACTCCCAAAAAAGTGCACTTATTTCATCTTTTTATCTTTTTTAGGTCACATCAATCAACATCTCCTCTCTACTTTTTCTACACATAATACAAAAAAAGTCAAAAAGTGCACTTATTTAGTCTTCCCAAACTAGGCCTAAGTCAACTATTTTGAATCACTTACTGAGATACGTGGATTTGAGGATCTTTTTCTTCTGAGGTAAGGCCTCGTTTGGCATGAAACAGTTTCAACCTAAAAGTCAAAAAATTACTAAAAAAACCAAAAAGCCTATAAGCTATACCAAAAAGTCAATGATTCCCTTTTCTCTCTATTTTTTGCACATCTTTTCATAAAAAACCAAAAAGTCATTCCAAACATACTAGCTTTTTTTACCTCATATTTTAGCCAAAAAGCCAAAAAAGTTACTAAAATAGCTTGTTCCCAAACGAGGCCTTAATGTGCATAACAAGGTTGTTCACAATGAGAAAGGGGGCACAAGGAATGGGATACTTCTTTCTTATCCGTTTTCTAATGAGGATACTGTGTTAGCTTCTTGTCCAGTTCTCAATACAGGGGATAATGCATTCATAAGTGATGGGAAGCCAGTAGGGGTCCATTCAAGAGTCCTAACCTCATTGGTCTTGATTTTAATGCTAAAGTCAAGGTAGGTTACTGTGAAAATGCCTCTGGTATGGGAAGCTGTCTTGTTCATTTGGATGATGGGGGTAATTCTATTGTGAAAGGGGCTAGTCAAAAAAATGAAATGTTTTTAAGGGAGTTGATGAAGCATGCATCTTTTTCTCTTGATGAGGAAGGGTCAAGTCAGTTGGGCAGATTATTAGAATTGATGGGTTGGTCTTCAGTATGATTGAATGTAAAAGGAAGGAGGTTGGAGTTGAGGGGTACGTTTTGTGAGGAGGGAAACTTTACAGATGGGAAAGTGGTAAAATTATGGGGGTTGGGGAATTAAGAAATTTGGTCTCAGGAATTATGTACAAAGGTGACGGTTAAGTAGAAATGTAGGGGGCCTTAGGTCTAGGAAGTAGAGGAAAGTGGTTATGGAGGTTTTAGTGAAGAATGCTTTGGATATTGTAGGCCTTGTTTGGTTTGTGTTTCTCAAAAAATTTTGGAAAAAATTCTCTACAAATAAGTTTTCAAAAGTAATCAAACCAAACAAATTTTCTCAAAAAAATTTCCCAAAACTTGTTTGGTTTACAAATTTTCCAAACAAATCTCTCTCTTATACACATCAAATCAATCACTTTTTCCAAAACTCTCTCTCAAAATAATTTTTCAAAACATCTTTTGAAAAAAAACCAAACCAAACAAATTTTCGTACTTTTTATCTCAAAACATGTTTCTCAAATGCAAATCAAACAAGGCCGTAATTTTGCAAGAAACCAAAATTGAAAAAGTGGATCGGAGATTGGTGAGAAGTATTTGGCGGATCAGACAAATAAGATGGGTTGAGTAACTGTCATGATGCAGGGATGAAAGAGTGGTTTTATATGGAAAAAGTCATTCATGTGACCCCATAATTCCTCCAGGTAAATTCCCAACCCAAGAGTTCGAAAAACACAACTCTACATGGTTAATATCAGAAATTCAACATTCACATTCAGGTTGCAGTGAACGATATAAGCCAGGAAATTATAATTAAATAATGCACATTCACACAAACGAACCCAATAAAAATTGTTATGTACGTTTTGGAAAGGGTTATCACCGGAGAACTTGCCCTTATTCATAAGCTTGTTTCTGTTCATTTTAAAACCTACATTCCCACCAGTTTTTAAAATTTAAAATTGCAAACTAATCAAATCACTCTCTAAATCCTTTCTAATCTCATGGTAAAATAAATATCTACATGGAACATTGTTTTCAGGCTGTGTCCCATCATGAACATATTTAACAACATGAAAAAGCTTGTCAAATAAGAAAGATTATTAATGATTTGGTTAGATTACACAAAGTGAAGTGATGTTCATACCTTGTTTTCCCCAAAACAAAACTTAGTAAATTAAACAAAATAGTCAACCAAAAAAAGGAAATTTACACATTTTAAAGAATAAACATAGATTAAACACAAAAGATAGACGAGAGATCCTGACCTTTTCTTTCAAGAGCTTCATATTTTCCTCTTCAAGACGTGAAACCTTGTTTACCAGCTCATTATGGTAAGCCTGCACATTACAACATAAATCTGCTAAGGTCACAACCAAATGAACGAAGAATAACAATGCATAATGATTTTGCAAAAGGAAAAACAACAAATCTCAATAGCCTGCCTGTTTTCTTGCTCGTGAACGTGCAGCAGATTCCCTATTTTTGATCTTTCTCCTCAATCTCCTATCAATAGTCCTCTCAATTGCGTCTGTGGCATGCCTCTTTCGGCCTGGTGCAGGTGTATCCGATAGTGTGTCAATTGAAGTGCTTGGTGACAAGCCAATCTGTGACAGAGGCTTTTGACAGGTCACTGCATTATCTGCTCGTATAAAAGGTCCTGATGAAACTTCAGCAAAAAGCCCTGCTTTTACCAAAAAGTCTTCCAAAGTTATCTCGCTGAGAGTTTGTTCTCTTTCTTGACCTTTCATCTCCTCAACATTTTTCATCTTCTGCCCTTGTTGAATATCTCTCCACACCTCATCAACTGTCTTCCCACTAAAAGCTCTAGCCAAGCTTAGACTGGCCTGCCGCTGAAGAGAAGATGCCGAAGAAGAACTATCAGTGTCCATTCCAGTAGACTGATTTGCTTCAGCAGTCCATACATTTTTAAGCAATTCATCGAGGTTCATGCTGCCCAGAGGTTTGCCCAAGTCCCCCAATTGATTATCAATTTCCTCAAGGGTAAAGCCAAACCACGAGTTTTGCCTTGAAAATGGCTGTAGATGAGGCTGTTGACCACTCCCGTGAGAACCCATTGTCTGAATCCCCATCGACAGGGTTCATCAAGCAAACCTACTCTGCATAGAATTTCTATGGGTTGAAAAAAAAAATCCAAAAAACTAAAGTGGAAAATCCAAAGACATTGACAAAATTCACGCTTTAGTATGCCAGAATAAACAAGCCATTCTAAACTGCCTAAATCTCCCCCAACCAATAGAATAACTAGCATGGGAACCGGCTAGACTAAGATACAACATAATCAGTATTCAGTCATTCTCAAAACAATAAAGTTGTGATAAAAGAACTTTTGTCTATTGTCAATCAAAAATGTTTGAGAGAGAGGGAGAGAAGGGTTATATGTCAATTCCAATAAGAGAAATTAAACCAGGAACAGGAGAGAAACAAACATTGAGAATGAAGGCTTGAACTCAAGTGGTCTACCAAAAAAAGATGATACAATAGATATGTACGTCTATATGCCGCCACAAATCTCCCTGGAGGTGCAAAACATTTTTAGGAAAAGATTATCCCTACTAAAATAATAAAAAACAGTAGCCTTTATGCTGCAATGACTGAACCTAGTTAAAATCAATATTCCAAAAACATTATTAAGATTTGAGATGCCACATTATCAAAAGGGCTATAAAACCGTTCAGTCTTGTTTCTTTAACTTCAAAAGTGATTTAATGCAGTCAAAAATTGAAGCTTTAATTTTTATCAAAACAATTTCAAGTGAGAGCATTTACAAAATATCTTGGTGTTGGTTTCTCAATATCTGTGATTAATTTTATCTAATGTTTGACAAAATTTGGACCTAAATTGAAGAAGAAACCAGGTTATCGGTAGTAGTAGTACAATTGCCAGATCAACTATAATTGAATTGGGGCATCATAATTGCATAAATTACAAAAATCAATCAAATGGAATGAAATAATGCAAAAAAAATTATTTTATTTTTTATTTTTTTTATTTTTTTCATGGAACTTAAAGTGTATGGAAAAATGCATATGAATATTCTTCATAAATCACAAAGCTTGAGTAGAATCTAATTGTTCAAAGAGTTGTGTTATGCCAAATACCAAACATATTCCTCAAGTAATTATCACCCACATAACAAAAAAAAAAAATGCATGGAAACTAAACAAAATTACTTCAGATACAGATCTCAACACTTAATAGCAACCACACTAAGCCATAATTGCCACTTTCTCCTTCAATTAGAAAGCAATTAATTACCCTAATCGCTAATTCTTCTACAATTGCAAATTTAACACAAAACCCAAAAATATTATCTTTCAAAATGAAGATAATGAGCGAAAGTCACTGGAATCAGATTTGCTTGAAGAGAAAAACGAAACGCAAGATCCGAGATAAATCGTCTATACAATATGCAAATAAATATACGTATATACTGCATAAAATCTATACCTATATATCCAGAGATAGATAGAGAGAGACCTGTGAGCAGAGAATGATCGATTTGGCGAAGAAGACAGAGGAATTGTTTGTTGGACTGTTCTGTCAATCAGAAACTTTTTTTTTGACTTGGCAATTCGAAACAATGAAATGCACTTTCCAGACCTTGCAATTTGTCTATTTTTATGGAAAATTACACTGACCCCTAAGTTATTTATCATTATATTGGTACCCACAAATTTCTAGAAATTACATTCGCTCCCCTAAATTGGTAAAATCTTCCTAATATCCCAACCCTCTAAACTCACCCAAAATCTTCCTAATATCCCAACCCTCCAAACTCATCCAATACCCATGAACCTAACTGATTCAAAACATCTAGTTCGATTGTTCAATGGCGAAATTCCATCAAACTTTTCTTAAAGAGCCCTGTCCGAAAATGTCAAATTCCTTATAGAAAGACATGAGTGCACCCTAAATCATATCCCACGTGAAAGAAATCAATGTCTGAAAATGCCAAATTCCTTATAGAAAGACATGAGTGCACCCTGAGTCATATCCCACGTAAAGGAAATCAATGTGCTGATAAACTATGGGCGTGAATCATTAAGAGCCATTGGTAGTTTTTGAAGACCCTCCTGGCCAAGTTATTAGTTTGCTTATTGTAGACATGATCAACTTGTCTTGTGAGAGGATCTAATATCTTCATAAACTCTTGTTTGTTATGTTTGTGCTTAATCAAAATAAATTAATTAATAAATAAATAAAGCATATCTCTCATTTATTTCAAAATCAATTTTTTGGTGATCATATATTATTCAAGAGAATATATAGAACCGATAAATCAATCCAATTCAACCCAAATTGCTGATTTGGTTTGGCTCGATTTTTATTAGTTTCAGTTATGGCTTCGATTTCAAAAATAGTTAAACCACTAGAATCGGTCTGATTCATGATTTTAAGGTTTTAGTTACAATTCTAAACCAAATTTAACTATGATATAATCAAGGGGTTTTTAGCTAGTTGGTTAGTCCTTTAGCTACAAAGTCTCTAGTAAGATAGAAGTTTTAGATTCCACTTCTAGAAGTGAAATGGAAATATAGATTTTTTCATAAAGTGTATGAGTATGAGTTTCAATTCCTCCAACGTACTAATTTAACAATTAATTACTGATTTTTGCCGATCAAAAAAAATTGAATAATGATATATTTTTCAATTTTTAAAAATATTTCAATATTAATTTTAGTGGTGGAATGGATATTATTCAGCCAATTCAACTTTGTTTGTTGTTATTACTTTGTTTATAATTATAATATATATACCATATCTCTTATTATATAAAAATTCGAAAATCATACAGAATTGGGAAATTTAGCTATAAACCCCCTTTACCTTCCTTTTATTGTTAAAAGGACTAAGAAAAAAAATTATATTTTCTAAACCCCCTCATAATTATAAAATTTTGCATAAAGGACAAAATTTATTATTTAAATATTTTATTAGACTATTATATCATCAACTAAATTTCCTCACATTCTCCACTCTTTTTTCCTTCTCTCTTCCATTCCTAGGGTTTGGATTGGATTCGTTCGAAGCTCTCGTGATTTCAACCAAAATTGTAAATATACCTAAATCACTCTCAGGTGCAGAGAATTTTCTTTGAATGGCGCATAGGTTTCGCAGTGGAAGAGATCGTCGGAGATGATCAGAGAAAGCTTCGACGACGTCGACGTATCACCTTCCAATTCTCATGAAGTTCATGTTCTTGTTGTTGATGATAGCCTCGTCGATCAAAAATTCGAATTGTGAAAGAGTATAGAGACGAATTGCGCGACTGTTTAAAATTTTCATATTTGAACACAGTTCTTCAGATTTTTCATATATATATGTGTGTGTTTGTGTGTGTGTGTGTTTGTGTGAGAGAGAGATTTTTCATTTGGATAGTGTTGTTAAATTCTTAAATTGATCTATTAATCAGTTGTTACTATGTTCTCTCAACTTTTTATTGTAAAATTATTTTTGATTTTGATAAATTTTTGTGTCGTGAGTAAGCAATATGGATTGTGTATATGTAATAGATAACAGAGAAGCCAAAGAGGTGATACGAAAGAGGCAAGTAACTGTAAAGAAACAGAAGAATAATGGCTGCGAATGATCTAATTTCATTTGATAGAACCAGAGTAAAATTTTACTCTGGTTCTATCAAATGAAATTAGATCATTCACAACCACTATTCTTCTGTTTCTTCATAGTTACTTGCCTCTTTCGTATCACCTCTTTGGCTTCTCTGTTATCTATTACATATACACAATCCATATTGCTCACTCACGACACAAAAATTTATCAAAATCAAAAACAATTTTACAACAAAAAGTTGAGAGAAAATATCAGGGGGTTTTGAAAGTACTTATATAATTCTTGTCCTTTTGAAAAACAAATTAGATAGTGAGGGGGCTATCACCAAATCCCCCTACAGAATAGAGAGAAAGAGAATTAATGAATTGCAGAACCTCACCAAACCTAATTGATTCCTATGGTTTGTTTTGATATGGTCACATAGGTTCAATAATTTGATTACGATTCTATCTTCTTCTTTTTTCCTTTTCATATATATAGTAGGAGGGATTGGTTTGATTTCTAATTTATAATCAAATTGAACCAATCCATAAACACGTCAAGCATCATTCACAACCTGCACCCAAAACCACAATTTGTCAGCATAACCCCTAACCAACTTCAACCACCAACACCATTAAGCACTCAATCACTGTCACTTCGTCATATCTCCATAACTGTCTTTTCTTTCATTATCAATCACATATTATCACATCTAACTATTATTAGTGGTTGCCACCACTCTAACCTTCACCACTAAAAATATCATTGTTTCATACAAACACGCAAAATTTTATAATTATACCTAATGGTCACACTATTTTAAACTTCCACAATTACACCATCTTGTCATACTATGAGTGCAGTGATGGATCTAGAATTATCACTTTAGGGATTATTTTATAGTTTAAAAAATTAGCGGGCAATTCTATATAATTTTAAAATTATTTTTAAAAAAATTAGGAGTACGAACTATTATAATTTTAAATTATTTTAAAATTTCTAATATGATATATGATATTTTTCAAATTTTTGAGGGTGTGACCGCCCTCCATCCCCCTAGATCCATCATTGTACGAGAGTCACCACCCTCCGTACCATTAATTAATTCCACATATATAAGATCCACCACCACCGTGTTTATGCTATCACTACTTTCATGCACCACCACTTCATATATTACGCATTATCCTTTTACTAAAAAAAACCATATGCCACTTCTTACAAATAAAACATAATCATGTTTGTGCACTACCATTCGTTGCCACCTCCAATCAACCTAACTAAAGCCGCATCAATCCATTCAATTAATTTAACGATACATAATATTCATCTTACAAACGCCCTGTTTAGTGGAAACCTTTTTAAATTAAAAGTTAATAATTAAAATGTAAAAGTTAAAAATACTCTTCTATTAGTTTTCAAATAATTAGATTTTTTAACTTACTTAAGTTGTTTTTGTCTAATAAATTATAAGCATAAGTTACCCCATATCGTCTGAAGCAGACTCCTAAATTAAAACAAGTTATAATTAGCTCTTTTAAATTGGAACAAACAACCCCAAAGTCACTAATCTACCTATCAAAACACATACATTAAAGTCCATTTTCGAAAAAAATCTGAAAAGATTCAAAGTTGGGTAGATATGGATTGTGCCGAGGCATTTGTAACTGCAAGGGCCGTGGAGTTGGCTTGAGAGTTGGGGCTTCAAGAGGTTCTTTTTGAAAGGGATTCGTTGAATATTGTGAGGGCTTTTAAGTTGAATGACTTTTGGCTCTCACAGTTTTGGCATATTCTTTAATGGTGTGTTTGGTTGGGGGATTTGGGGAAGGATTTGGAAAAGAAAAGAAAAAAGGTGTGTGAAACTATGTGAAATATATACATATTTTATTCACATTTTACCTACCTTTTTCATTTCCCTTTTCAAATCTCTCCTCAAATCCCCCAACCAAACACAGCATAAGGGATTTGGGGATACTGTTGCGCGCCCAAAGCAGCGTCGTTTTGGGCTCCAAGGTTATTTCAAAAATTTTAAACAATTCCAACGGCACCAAGGTTTGATCCCATGACCACGCCCGCGCATGTAGCACTCTTACCGCCACGCCACTTTGCCTCCTCAATATTATATACGACTGTAGACACCCCATTTTTGACCGTTCTCAAGACTTGGACGTCACCGTTTGAACACTCGGTGATCATCCATGTTTGTGTTCGTCCTAAGTTCTTGGAGGTCTCGGCCATGCGTCTTGCCTCAAGATCTCTCAACTCGTCTGTTTTGTGTTTGGTTTTGCACCAAACACTTGTTGTTTTGCTTCTGATGGTGGGAAATGGCTTGTTGGCCATCTCTACACCTCACCAACCATGGCTTGAGGCCACTGGCCCTGTTTTGTTGCTACCGGCCATTGGTTATGGCCGGTCGGCATTCTTTATGGTCGGCCGACCATTGTTTTGGTCAATTTGTCATTTTTGGCTAGTCGATCACTGTTCATCTGCTTTTGACAGATATTTTATGCCAGCTGTGATAGCTGGCATCCATAATGCACCCCCTCCATACACGTGTATGGAGGGATTTCCCTCTTGCTTAGCTTGTTTTGTAAGCTTTGCAAGAGTGAATCTCTATAAAGAGAGGGCTTATCCTCCCTCCTCAAGGGTTCCAAGAAGTTCCAGAGCTCTGAGATTAGAGTTAGAGGATTGTGTATCTATTCTATCTCTATATCTCCTTCTCCTTCCATTTTGTGTGTGTTTAAGGTGTTTTTGTTCATAGTATTGCATACAAACACCTAGTGCTACACTTTCCTTCGGCTACTGAGGTACTAAGGAGTTATTTTCAGAGTTTTTGAGTTGATCTAAGCTTGGAGAGGCTGGTGGAGCATTATTCTTGAAAGAGGTCTTCAAGGGTAAGAACTTCACCCCTTTATTCCCCATTTTTGCATAGGCTTTTAGCCATCCTTACATCAGTTTTTAAGCTTAGTGTATAACTAGTAAAAGTTCTGTTTTTACTTGCTTTTGATAGTTGTTTAAGGTCTCTTTGAGGTTTGGGGTTGTTTGACCTCTCTTAGGCCTTGTTTGGTCTCATTTTC